TATAAAGACTTAAATGGATATATGCAATTATTCATAGTCTGCTGCAAGACTTAGAATCTCTATACATCATTTTGTGCTGTAAATGGGATAGGAGGACAAATATTAGTTATGAATCAATTGTATAGAGTTACAAATATTGTAGCTTGAATGGAAAACTTATCAAATTCTAAAAGTAAAGAATGTCTTGAAAACGGGTGGCATGATCCGATCTACCGGTGAATTCATGTTCCTTTGGTTCCACATCTGGTAGTTGAGTAGGCCTGATATAGTGCACATCAGAAAACTAAATTTGAGAGCTAACACATTAAACTTTGTGCTATGCTTTGCTTTGCTTTGTGACATATCCCACAATGAGTAGGCTGGATAATAGTTCTGCCCAAAAATTAAACACCACATTCTGACATCTCATAACCATATTTTATGTAATTCAGAATTAATCAGTATTGTAACTTGTAAGACACTTGTTAGGCCCTTTCTGTGAACCAGTTTGAGGGATTAAAGGGATAACAACTCTTAGTATGAGATACATATTTTATAATAAATACACTGTAACAACTCACAGAAATATAATCAAATCTATTTTACCACCAAAATGGTGGTTATCTCAATTATTCTGGAAACTGTGATGACACAAGACCATGTGACCTCCACTAATGTCTACTTTTAACAGTAAATCCATTAAAAGTAAATAAATAAATAAATAACCAAGGACTAACTTTGAATGTTGGATAGATTCATTAACCATTGGTAAGTCTGGATAAATTTACCACAGGAAAATCCTTTTTTCCAAAATAACCATGCAGTATTTCCCACTTTAACCTGACTACCAGTGTACTAGTATCGAAATTGAGGGTCTGTGTAACAGAAAGTCCATCCTCATTTTAGTTATAAATTATAATGGTTAGGGTTAGCTTTACCTAAGTGGGTCAAAATATAGGGACAGTCGGGCTGACGTCACGCGCCTTAGCAACCGGCATCTGGGGTAAAACAAATCGGGCAACATGGCGGATCGCATTGACTTCTATGTAAAAGTTGGCAGACTTTGTCCGAAGATATCATACTTCACAGTGCCTGACCACTTGTATCAGTAAGGATGAGTTATTTACCTGGTCGATTTCTTTCACAGGCCTTTGTAATAAGCCGCTGCACACCTGGTTAAGAGATAAAATCGGCCTTAACATAACTGCCGATCGTTATCTGTGATCGGGAAGTTTACAGCAGAAGATTTTGCAAAGGCAGTGCTTGACCTTTTGTGTCTGGCAGGTTGAATCATTTACCTGGACTATTGAGTTGGCAGGCCTTTGTAATAAGCTACTGTTTAACTTGTTACGGGATAAAATTGATCTCAACTGCATACGCAAATGCCCACCCTTAGTATATACATGTACATAAGTTGGTGATATAGGAATGGCTTCTTAGAACGTGGATCGTGAGAAAGGCCTGGAAAATGTGCAACACTGAGAAGTTATTAGAATAAGATTTCTACAAATTGTGATTAAATCACCTGCTGCTGCTATAGCCAGGGGAACGGGATAGGGGCAATGTCATCGGTCCCATGGCCTCTTTGGTCCGTATACAGTTCATGTATATTAACACAAGCCTGGAAGGACAGCATAAACAGTTGCTTGCTAACGTTTTTGAAGAGAAGACACGTGGTGTTACCTGTATTAATATTTGCAGCTATATGCGAAAATTGGCGAAATATCTTGGAAGACAGAATTAAAATTAAATTGAATTGCAAACACGGTAATAAAGCTGTATGTAAGGTCGCTTTATTTATGGCAACTTTTTTTATATTTTACTTGATAACTTAAAGATTTAGACATTAACTGACAGGTTTGTCAATATTTTGACGTATGTATTTTTTCTTATCTTTATAACGCCCTCAATTAACTTACAACAAAAAAGTCCGACGTTATAGTCCATTAATTTTAACTAAAAGAATTGATATACCGTCACACACGCCAACACAAGATGTAATCTCGATTTCTTGTAAATACTACTTATTAATTCATGTAACAAATGACAAACATAAATACCAAACAAGGTACAATGTTTTTCTCCTTATCTATGATAAAATGAACTATAGGCCTACACACATACACAATTAAATCTCGTAGTGCATGTATAGCTATGACCAAATTTTGTTTCGATCAACAATCCCGTCTATAGTCACGTTTGCACGACCTATAACCTGCAACAGTCGTTTACTTTGCCGTTGATTTTTGAAATTTAACAAATCCTATGGGTTGGTAGTGTCACCTGGTGCACAGCAAGCTTCCACCATTTCACTTTTGTACGCGTGCCTGAGAGTTAAACGGTATACCGGTTCAATTCATTAAGCTTGGAAATCTACCCGTCATATGTGTCAGCAATATGCAATGTCAACAGTTATAAGTACAATTGAGACCTTCCTTGATATTATCAGTTGCTTCCACGTGGTTTTCTTTTCAAAGAGATGTGAATAATATGCTCATCCAGGTAAGCAAATGAGTCTTTGCAATATAGCACTGTAAGATTCCCGATCACAGATAACGATCGGCAGTTAAGGCCGATTTTATCTCTTAACCAGGTGTGCAGCGGCTAATTACAAAAGCCTGTAAAGGAAATCAACCAGGTAAATAACTCAACTTCACTGACACAAGTGGTCAGGCACTGTGAAGTATATCTTCGGACAAAGTCTGCCAACTTTTTCATAGAAGTCAATGCGATCCGCCATGTTGCCCGATTTGTTTTACCCCAGATGCCGGTTGCTAAGGTAAAGTGCCCGGATGACCGACTGTCCCTATAGGGAGATCCTTACCTTACAAATGAATGGGAAACGGACACTCAAACATGAGGGACTCCGGAATTAGCATTACGTAAGAAAGTCAACCAAAAAAACTCCCCAGCTCTCCACACGGGGTTGGGAAAGGGAGCAAATCACCGTAGCGTACTAACATGTTAGCACCAGTCTTATTAATGCGAAACAGAAAACGGAAACATTTGGGATCGATTCAGAAAGAGAAAGTACAGTGATATATCATATCCATCACCCCACCGCTTGACGATGTGTGACAGTGTCACTGTGTGTATGGCACTTTCTTTCTCACAAAATATCTGATTACCTGTAGCAAGGACAAGGACATCGATTAACATTTGGATCCAACTGCCCATTTTCCTTTTTCGGAGACAGTAAAGAAAACACATCAGAAACTTCCTACTCGCTAGTGAGCATCCTGTACGACCTAACGATACCTGCGCATGTGCGAATGGAGCTTACCGCCAGAGCCTCCTTTTACAAGACAAGCTGAATTTCGTACAGCATGTCAGATGTTGACACACAAGATTTTACTTGTGAGAAAGAAGGGGGTGAAGGAAATTGTGGTTTGCTTGCTTGCCAGCGAGTCCTTAATGGTGTTTGTTTAAATTTTGGCAAATAACATGTTTCTAACATTATAATATTACAGAGAATAATAAAACAAGCTTCTACAATTAATTGTACCACCAGCGTTAGCGCTGGCGGTACACATGGTTTTAGTCCCGTCCGGATCGTTCGAGAGGACGCAGACTCGCTTTTAGGAGAAACCGGCAATCCAGGTCAGAAAATGGCGGAAACGGCAAATCAGGACACAGGCAAATCAGGACAGTAATAGATAGCGCAGCAGTAGAACATCAACAATACTAGAATTAGCAAGGAGAGGGATTTTGCTTTTAATTAAATAATACGTGAACCTTTTCTAGAACTTGATTCACTTTAGTATTAAGTATCGTATTATGATACACCCAATATAGGCCCTACCAATTTAATTTGAGCATTATTATATCCAAGATTTTTAAGTTAGGCTACNCAACGTGTGTGTGTGTGTGTGTGTGTGTGTGTGTGTGTGTGTGCGAGAGAGAGAGAGAGAGAGAGAGAGAGCGTGAGCGTGTTCAAAGGTTGTATCTTAGACTATTTCTACCAATGTATGTCGATCATATATGTTTCTCGTGTAAAAATATCTCCTTTGATTGAAAACACGTTAACTTGCCTGCATCAACGATTTTATGTGGTATCATTTTTAACTCTTCCGAGGATTTATACCCGACAAGACCGATGCTTAGGTTAGGCCTAGCATGTGGCACTGGGCTTGAAAATGCATGTATTTGATCTTCTCTTCGTTTATATAGAGTGACATAGTAGATACATTCAAAATGGCCAAATGATCATTCAATGATCAAGAACTTTGAAAGCACACAAATTTCATACCGCTCCGCATGCTACTACATACATCCTACCCTCTACCAGGGCGACAGATTGATTTTCCACAGATATTCACAGATATGTATCTAGATAAATAGACAGTCATTTTGGTCTGAAGTCATTTCAACCAAAAATGTCCACAATAATAATGCGACCCTGGTAGAGGGTACATACATCCTATAAGAAATCCTGTCTGCGAGTAGATCGTCAATATCCTACCTAAACAGAGTCAACTGTGAACAGAACTCCCAGCCTCTGCCCAAGCCTTTTTCACTACCTGAAATATTCTGTGAGTCAAAACGCTTACTGTTGCTGGATTGTTGTCTCCGCCGTTTGCTGCTGCAGTGCTTGAACGGCAGACAAATCTCAATTTATAAGTAACTCAAACAGGTTTTTTGCCAGAAATAATAATTAAGATACCAGTTGCCACTTGCCAGAACAAGCTTGCTGCATCCCTGGTGAAGTTTAATACAAATAGTCTTTACTGTATCCAAAACCTTAGTTGATTAAATGTAACAAATATGTGAAACCATTACATAAAGTGCAGAGGTTTCTCATCAAAAGCAGCACCGTTGAATGCATTCACTAAATAATACAATTACTCGCTGGGATGAACCTCGGGGGAAGGAGCTCTCACCTGCACTGCATTGCCATTCCCCTATACCACATTCCCCCTCAACATTTATGATTTCAGTTCTTTGGGCGAATTTGCCATTTCTTGGATCTAGAAATAGAAGCAGTTTGGACATGAAATATTGTTGTTCTCGCACATTAGAGGAAGTGTAGGCCAACATGTAGCATCCTTGCTTCATTTAATTGTTCTCTTTTCACTTGAAACTGTGTTACATTTGATTGATTTATTATTCACCGGTTGCCCGCACAAGCCTATATATACATGCTTCTCTGATCCCGGTAATGTATTTACTCGGTTCAAAAGCTATTTTATGAGTCCGTTTAAATGTAGCATACCAAGAAACGGAGTTTATACTGTGCCCATGCTGATACAGATCTGTTTTTTCCTTTGTTCAAAAAAGAAAAAAAAAGAGAAAGAAAAAAATCGGCCTTTTTTGTAGAAAAACGGCCCCTCCGTCTTATCTGTTGTAGATATCTCTTTGGTTCGGTAGACTGCCATATTTTCATTAAATATGAGTCGCGTTGATCAGTACTTGTTAACTAAATTTGATAATGATATTTACACGTGTCTAACGCTATGGCATTCACGTTAACCTTCGGAGACTTTCAGCGGCCTGGAACTGGTCATACACCTGGAGATAGCAAGCCAAGGGGGGTCAGCGGTTTCCAAAGACCACCCTTTTTTTTCGCCGGGAAAAGGTCCCCTCTGGATAAAATTTTATCTAGGCACATGAGTCATGGTAAAAAGTCCACTTCTTCAGAAAAAGAACCCGTTTAGAAATTGCTGGCTACAGGTCTGAATGTATTTGGATGTTCAAGAAGAGACTTCACAAGATCTTTGACATTGTTTTTTTTTTCACATATCACAGTTAAGTGTTCGCTTGCCGCTTAGCAGGCAGCATATTACTGATTTATATTTAATGATAAAAGACGTGCGCAAACAAGAATACCATCATGATTGAGGCCCGATAAGATCACTGGTCCGATATATCCAAGATTATCGCCTGTCAGTGGTCAGCTTAACAAGCACTTTTACGTCTAGCATTTCATAATTGCATGGTTTAACTTTTCAGTCACCTCTAGCCTAGCGGATGATTGATCTACATTTTATATTTAGGTTGAGACAGAGTGGTGTCAAGGGAATCATTGCATGACAAACGTTTTTAGGCTTCGTAAAGAATGTGCCTATAATGCATTTATGGGATATCTTTATTTTCCCGTGGCATTTAAAACATCATCTTTCAGTAATGATGACATGAATTTAATGTAAGAAGTGTACAACGTATTCAAGAACAATGCGTGCACCCTCAAAATACTCCAGTTCCTTTCTGTATATATATTTGATCGTCACTATAAAGTTAGAACGGTCTTTAAATTATTTTCAACATATCACCTTTCCAACAACAATTTTTCTGGGCGGCTTGACAATTACACGCAAATCACTTTCATTATGAATTAATTTGATCACGCGTTCATCATGTCATCCTGGTTGGGTGAATTAGAATCTCATTTGACGTTAAGTTGGCGTTTACAGTTAGTTTAACGAAGCAAGAAAACAAGACCCCCGGTGGGAAAATGTGAAAGCTACAGTAATCTAGCTTATAAAGCGCCGTTACATTGTGAAGATCAACATCCCTATCCACTTCACGGACGGACAGAGGCCATGGTAAGAACCCTTGCAACGAACAATGGTATTTCAAAGTAAATGTGTATTCTAATGCTTTTTAATAGATGTCACAAGCTCTATCCCAACGTTGTTATCACGCAAGATACATGTACCTGGGCAACGCGAAGAATGAACGTCAGATCGATCCAGCCAAACTCACCTTGTCTGCTACACCTGTGCTAGTACAACAATTACCTCCGGAGCAGCATCTTGTCGATCCAAGTACTCATTAGAAGTTCGTTAGAGCTCATTTCGATAAACAAGCTACCTGTGGAACTCTATTGAAACTACTGCTCCACAGACTGAATCTTACCTCTCGTTTCTCCTACTATTTAATTCATACACTGCACAAGAATCTTACCGCAGGCTTCGAGTACTCCACGCGCTAAATATAGCGTCTGTGCTATGAACTGCAAGCGTCGGAAACACTTGTGTTCATTTGGGAACACGTAATTAGCTCTGCTCGGCAAAATAACAATTTCAGGCGCACTTAAGTCTGCATTACATCAATTTGTGCTCCCACAGCTCGAACGAAGTACGTTGACTTTATTGCACCTCGGCTAAATTTTGCATAGATTTAAAGAAAGCGCCGAGGCCATTGACGCTGTTGACGTGGGAGATGAGGAGGGCATGGGTAGCGAGGGAGTTCCCGCGTCATGATCTTTTATGATTCCTTTGTGTTAATTACAAGCTTTGGGTACTGTGTTGGAGGTTTATCGCTGTTTCCGCGCGTCATTCTCTCCAAAGACGTAAGATCAACATATACCAAATGTAAAGATATACACATGTACCAAGCGTCTCAATATCAGCGTCGTCTCTGTCGGAGTGTCCTGTATTGAATACTACATATTTATTTAGAACAGATTGGATTGGTTACACAAACGTTTATTTGCCGTTTTGAGGTTACTTGTCTTTTATTCAATAGTGGTTTGAAACAGATAACATCACGCATTTGTGAAACTGATTTAGACAGCCTTATATAATCTGCGATCATTTTCGATCGATGCTGTGGTCCTGGCAGACAGCAAAACTCGTCGTTCCCATAGGATCTATACCCAGACTAGGCTCCCTAGAACATCCTCCCACGCACACCAGATATTATCTTTGTAGCGTGAAATGAACAGCATCCATTATTGACGATTATGGTTCTATATGTATATTGTTTGCTTATTATGCTGGAGAAATCAAATCTGAGATACAGGCGGTTTAATATATTATAATAATACACATTCCACAAAGACATGTAGTGGAGGGAGAAGCGATTGGTGCACAAGTAGTATAAATTATCCCCCCCCCCCCCTCCTTATCCTTATTGATCATACTAAGAATTCTTAGCACATAACACTGTAAATAGTTAGTTTTTCTTTTTTTTTTTTTTAAAGAACGCACTTGTATTTGGAATTTGGCACGGAAAAATCTAAATGAATAAATATAAATCATAACAGGGAATTATATGGGATATAATTCCCTGATCATAATGATACTCATAATGATAATTATAATAACAATAAAACTAAACAACTACACATAAACAATAAAAAAATAAATGAATAAATAAAAAAGTTTCGACAGTAAACACAAAGTGAGTCAAGTTATTTACAAATCTGGTCTGTGCATGAATAATTCTTGAGCATGCTTGGTGCACCAAGTTATAGCTACGCTATCGGAAAGCACCACGTCACGCTCCTCTGATTATTGAAGATATAACATGGAATACCGGATATTTGATTCGTGAATAAAAAATCTCCACCGGCTACCAAAGACGAAGTCATGAAATGCATTCTATGTAAGATCTGAAGGTCCCACAGGCAATTTTAAAAAAACCATTCAGCTTGGAAAGTTCACGTGAAACTGTGTAGTCCTTTTTTATTCGTGTAACCTCATTTCTTCCAGAGGCATATCTGGTTTTTGTACATGTACTCCGTTTTAACGAGGACCGGATTAGCTTGATGAATCCTAGGTTTCAATCACTGAATCTTCTTGGCTGTAATTAGGAGCTGTTATCTCTAACGACACCACTGAGGACAGCCATTTCGTTTAATGTCCTATCATAAACCAGGTTCGCTGGGAATCGCTATATCAAGGTCATTAAGAGTGCATGTGTATTTGTATCTCCGGCGGATTTCTCTCTCTTTTTCTTTGTGTGTGTGTGTGTGTGTGTGTGTGTGTGTGTGAGAGAGAGAGAGAGAGACCATTAAGGGTACGTAAGATACCAATTTCCAGCATGTTCATTCAATGATAATGCCGTTCCCTCTTAATTAGAGTAGTACTTGTGCTTCACATATGTCATTCATACAGTAATACCCATAGATATGTCTCTGGCTATATTTCTGCACTTTTTTTGTACTAGTTGTGGCTATTTCTTTGCACTTGTGTTAATAATAAATAATTAATTATGTCTAAAATCCATCTAAAAAGTTCAGTAGACAGTTTTCTGTAAAAAAAATTTGAATTAAAAAAAAAAAAAACAAAAAAAAACGTCGTCACCCAGCTGGACTCTGGTAGAGAGTAGGCATAATGGTGGACAGCTTTGTTGACTAAATAAGGCCGACCGATATTTGACCCTCGTACTAGTTAGTACACTGTTCTGAATGCGGCCTAATTAGACTCTAGTCCTCGGATCAACTTGTTCTGAATGCGACCTAAGAAAGCCCCCCCCCCCCCCTCCATATATCACACCAAGCCAGATGGCCATATTTTTCCGTGGATCTGTTAGCTCACATTCAGAACAGTGGACTAACTAGTCCAAGGGTCAAATATGGCGACCCACTGAAAAGCTTGCCGTCTAATCCACTAATAGACACTGAATAGATTCCCTGCGGGGAAGTAGGCCTATTCAAATGGATCGGCCATATTTAACCCTCGAACTAGTTGGTACACTGTTCTGAATGCGGCCTAATTAAGAGAGACCCCCCCCCCCCATATATATCACAACAATCCATATAGACAGAGTAGGCCTAAATCCATGTAGGCATATAGATATCAACAGCTAAACCAGGAGTGATGAAAACATTGTTTCGATTACTCCACATATCCTAAGGACAAAGTAAAAACACAGCGCAAGTTGATTACACAGAGACACAATTGGATTTGATGAGACGACGTCAAAGTTACTCAAAAGTAATCACGTTCTGATACAGAATGCAAACCGTATTGTAACTAGTAGACTATAGGGTGGATTTTACTTAGAACACAATTGGTCCGTGAATTCGTCCGGTTTGCAATTTGTACTGGGGAGGAGGCTAAACTCGAGAGACAATTCTGGATTTGACATTACATGTACATCTCGGTTACCATAAATATTGTGATATTTCGCCTTCCCACGTGATGCACCCTGAGCTTGAGAGATAACTCCACATTTTAGCATACCCTCTGCCGTTTCATTTCGGTGACGTGGGATTGTAAAAGGTGAACAACTAAAACAAGTGCAGCGTGAAATATTTTGTTACTAGTCATTAATTTTCCCAGATTCTCAAGGGTTTGGAAAAATTTACTGCTCACACATGTTATAATGCAACAATAATGCAACTATGCTTAACAACTGAAGTTAATAATATAATGTCAGCAGATGTCAAATAACGACAACGCAACAATGTTATAATGCAGTTAAAATGAATGTTCTTAAAAGTTGGTTTGCCTATATATCTTTGCTCGGTCATCAAGTGTTGCTGCGCGAACAACTCAGGGTGACACCCGCTCTCGCCACGCTCGGTCATCAAGTGTTCTTGCTTGAGCAACTCAGGGTGACTCCTGGTCTCTCCACGCTCGGTCATCAAGTGTTCCTGCACGAGCAACTCAGGGTGACTCCCGGTCTCGCCACCAACATCACAGTTTAGTTATTGAACCGAGCAAGTAATTTCTTTCTGGCTTTGCAACTACAAATACAAACTTGTGGAATTTTATATTATAGTTTCATTTATAAAAATAATAATGATTATTATTATTTATTGGGCACGGAAATGTTTTTTACATTCAACCCCCCCCCCCTCTCTCTCTCTCTCAGCACACAGGTGGTCACCAGACATACGGTCGCCACTCAGTGCGCCTAGCACACTTATTACGTTAGACAGGGTATTACTGGCCAATCACGGCTTAACTTCCTTAACACAACGTGACCACTGCACGCGACAAAGTCAGACCCTTTCAGGCAAGCGGATCGCAGGGACGCAGCTATTAGACTACAAGAATACTTTCGTATCAAAAGAATCGTAAGACCGCACAAGGTAAGAAACTTTATATTAACCTATCGCCTCCCTCCCCTCCGCGACAGCGTCGTTATTTACCACACCTTCAATAACTGCTTTCTTCGCTTGAGTATCCTATTTGGCGTCCCCATTGAAGCCTAGGTCCCAACCGAACGTACGGGCTGCTACGTGTGGTCTACGGCCAAAAGAAAATGGGGAAAACGTGGGAGTTCGTGTGTGAGGAGCACGTCCATCGTGCGACTTTAAGTAGGACGCAAACAGCACGTAAAAACTTTTCTACATGATCAACACCAATTACTTGATTCCTTCCCTGCGATCTAGTTACGTTCTAGCCGGAAACTATAACCCGTGCGTCCAAAACGTAGTTAGGACCTAAGCTTTAAGGGCGTCTTTTTCCTCCCCCCTCAATAATAGCTAACTTCGCTCAAGTATCTAACTTGGTATTTCTCAATCTATGGCGCCGCTCGGTCATTCGAGTGTACTTGCACTCAATGTGACTCCCGCTTTCGCCAAAGTCTTTAGGACCGATTAGGCCTACAAGTAATCGAAAACAAAAAAGTGATTTGAGAGCTTATATTTAATTATTAATTGATCCATATGTTAATTTATTGTCATGGTATATAGGTCATGCACATCTATACAATTTAGGACAGAAGTTAGAGATATTTTGGGTCCTAAATAATA